GCCCGCCCGCCCACTCACGTGATAACATAATACGTCCCCGTCTTCGACGGGCGTATAAAAATAGGTTGAGATATGTAAGTGTTCATGTTTCTGTCTTGAAAAAAGGGTTGGATTGTCATGAAATTTCGACAAATTCCTTTACCTGCACTGTTGTTATTAATTATTTGGCCATAGATATATATGTAAATAAAATATTACAGAATTTTGCATAAATCAATATGCCATGCAGTATCTAAAAATTAAAAGAAGTTATCATAATATTTTAAGTTTGACATATAATATATGATATTTTATTTATAACAAATAAGATTTGTATTTTATGACTGTGTATAAGTTATTTCATTTCCACAGATCTAAGGACATTCTTGTATTTCCAAAAATAGTAAATATATTAAGCAGGGTGAAAACTTATTAACTTATTGTGTTATTGTACATTTGTATTGAGGATATTGAAATAAATATATACCCAGACTGAGATATGCAGTCAAATCTTGAAAAAAAGTAGTTGATATCCCTTTTGAGAAAAAAATACCTATCTTACCTCTTCAGATCCTGTAAAGTGTCGAGCACTTCTCAATGGTTGGTCTGGACCATGATCAGCGAAGCTTGCCCTAGATATCTCCCCTGTTTTAATATCTACAGCTGTAATATAAAATGACATTATAAGCTTAAAGAGTATTTAAAGGCCAGAGTTAACAAGCTGACAATTACTTCATAAAGCTCATCACAATCATCACAGCCAATCAGACAATCATTACAGTCAATCAGACTAACATGCAACCAATCATAAGACAAGCTTGCAGCAATCATAAGACAAGCTTGCAGCAAGTATAATACAAGCATGTAGCAATCTTAAGACAAGCATGCAGCAATCAAAAGACAAGCATGCAGCAATCAAAAGACAAGCATGCAGCAATCATAAGACAAGCATGCAACAATCATAAGACAAGCATGCAGCAATCATAAGACAAGCATGCAGCAATCAAAAGACAAGCATGCAGCAATTATAAGCAATCATAAGACAAGCATGCAGTAATTATAAGCAATCTTAAGACAAGCATGCAGCCAATCATAAGACAAGCATGTAGCAATCATAAGACAAGCATGCAGCAATCATAAGAAAAGCATGCAGCAATCATAAGGCAAGCATGTAGCAATCATAAGACCAGCATGCAACAATCATAAGCAATCATAAGACAAGTATGCAGCAATCATAAGACAAGCATGTAGAAATCATAAGACAAGCATGTAGAAATCATAAGACAAGCATGCAACAATCAAAAGCAATCATAAGACAAGCATTCAGCAATCATAAGACAAGCAAGCAGCCAATCATAAAACAAGCATGCAGCAATTATAAGCGATCATAAGACAAGCATGCAGCAATTATAAGCAATCATAAGACAAGCATGCAGCCAATCTTAAGACAAGCATGTAGCAATCATAAGACAAGCATGCAGCAATCATAAGACAAGCATGCAACAATCATAAGACAAGCATGCAGCAATTATAAGCAATCATAAGACAAGTATGCAGCAATCATAAGACAAGCATGCAGCAATTATAAGCAATCATAAGAAAAGCATGCAGCAATCATATGACAAGCATGTAGCAATCATAAGACAAGCATGCAGTCAATCATCAGATAAGCATGCAGCAATCATAAGACAAGCATGTAGCAATCATAAGACAAGCATGCACCAATCATAAAACAAGCATGCAGCAATCATAAAACAAGCATGCAGCCAATCATAAGACAAGCATGCAGCAATCATAAGACAAGCATGCAGCAATCAAAAGACAAGCATGCAGCAATCATAAATCAAGCATGCAGCAATCAAAAGACAAGCATGCAGCAATTATAAGCAATCATAAGACAAGTATGCAGCAATCATAAGACAAGCATGCAGCAATCAAAAGACAAGCATGCAGCAATCATAAATCAAGCATGCAGCAATCAAAAGACAAGCATGCAGCAATCATAAATCAAGCATGCAGCAATCAAAAGACAAGCATGCAGCAATCATAAATCAAGCATGCAGCAATCAAAAGACAAGCATGCAGCAATTATAAGCAATCATAAGACAAGCATGCAGCCAATCTTAAGACAAGCATGCAGCCAATCATAAGACAAAAATGCAACAATCATAAGACAAGCATGCAGCAATTATAAGCAATCATAAGACAAGTATGCAGCAATCATAAGACAAGCATGCAGCAATCAAAAGACAAGCATGCAGCAATCATAAATCAAGCAGGCAGCAATCAAAAGACAAGCATGCAGCAATCATAAATCAAGCAGGCAGCAATCAAAAGACAAGCATGCAGCAATCATAAATCAAGCAGGCAGCAATCAAAAGACAAGCATGCAGCAATCATAAATCAAGCATGCAGCAATCAAAAGACAAGCATGCAGCAATTATAAGCAATCATAAGACAAGTATGCAGCAATCATAAGACAAGCATGCAGCAATCAAAAGACAAGCATGCAGCAATTATAAGCAATCATAAGACAAGCATGCAGCCAATCTTAAGACAAGCATGTAGCAATCATAAGACAAGCATGCAGTCAATCATCAGATAAGCATGCAGCAATCATAAGGCAAGCATGTAGCAATCATAAGACAAGCATGCAGTCAATCATCAGATAAGCATGCAGCAATCATAAGGCAAGCATGTAGCAATCATAAGACAAGCATGCAGTCAATCATCAGGTAAGCATGCAGCAATCATAAGACAAGCATGTAGCAATCATATGACAAGCATGTAGCAATCATAAGACAAGCATGCAGCAATCATAAGACAAGCATGCAGCAATCACGAGACAAGCATGCAGCTGAATGTCAGATAGACATGAAACCAGTCATAAGACAAAAACTAGATTTTATGCTCCACTATTTGGAACAAATAAATAACTTTCACATGTTTTAGTATCCTTTCATGAAGATTTACCTTGAAAACTAAGATGTTACTCAAATGATTTGTACAATATGTGAAAAATGCAATATCTGTGACTACATCATTCTGATGCCAAATTTATTTCATAGTTTGAACAGATAAATAAACATGACAGGTATTCATGTTTATTTGGAAAACAGTTCAAGAGAAATTTAAGCCGAAAGAAGGAATACTAATTGTAGAAAATGAAGATTATTAATTTTAATGTGCTCTTTAATTAATTATCAAATACAATGTGAATCAGTCATCGACAAAGCCTAAATTATGCAAAACTGAATGTTAAGAAAAATTCACTTTTCAGCTGGGTCTAAATTCAAGACATTTATAAGAATACTTTGACATTAAAGAAATGTAAATGAAACGACTTCAATCATTCTACTTACCGATGCCATATATATTGGGAAACGGGATATCCTTCTTCTTGATACTATTCAAATCTACAAGCAAAATAAGTTGTACAACTCAACATGACTTCATTTGTACACATTACAGACTTTTAACTTAGACTTCAAATTCATTTTGAATTTTTTCAACAGCCAGTCGCTTTATTTGCTGATGAAAGGAAAAGATAGAACGATAAGACAGATGGACTGAGCTACGTACACAATTTTTTCATATATAACTGCCAACCTATCAATTTCTGTCATGAGGAATAAGGACGCATTAATATTTGATGAAACGTGTGTAAACTCAACATGAATGGAACCAAATGTTTTTCTTCATAATAATCAGGCCTTTATTAGGACAGCACAACACAGAGACAGTATACTGAAACTGGGGATTTGGTTAACATCAGCTATTAAATTATTCTGGATTCAGTTGAGACAGTTAAGCTATCAAGGTAAATTAATGCTACAGTCAGTATTTAGACTAATACAGAATGATTTTTGAAAAGGTCTGATTGAAAACACAAAGATAAATACCGGTGATACAGCAGGTTTCTAAGTGGATATCATCCTCATTGTCATGGAACGCCTCTGTAAAACAGTGCAAAACAAGTACATAACAGAGGTCATTACAGTATTTTTTCAATGCCTCCACTTGGGGTCAAAAGTGCAAACTCTGGTTTACTAGTCTTTCATTACCGCATGAGAAATTTTCCCTGTGCAAATTGGTAGAAAACAGCTAGTACTTCACCAGGGTGACAAGCTTTGGTAAACTATCTCATATTATATCATTTAAAGCAAGGCCACTTTCGTTTATCGCGATCCAAACACTTGAACCGGTTGGACCAGAGTTGTTATTGTATAAATGGTTATAAGGTGGGGATCTCAACCATTTCCAAGTAATAAACTTTTTTTAGCCCAACCCCTTAGCCCGGGGGGTCAGCCCCACCGTTTGTACAATTTTGAAGCCCTGCCTCCCACGAATGCTTCCGACCAAATATGATTGATATCCATGGCATAGTTCTGAAGAAGAAGTCATTTATAGCAATATAGCCAAATTGTCCCCTTTTGGTCCCACCCCTCAGCCCCCTGGGGGGTCAGCCCCACCATTTGTACAATTTAGCATCCCCACCACGTAGGGATGCTTCCAGTTAAATTTAGTCAAATTCCAATTAGTGGTCAAGAAGAAGAAGTCGTTTAAAGAAATTGTTGACGTACGTACGTACGTACGTACGTACGTACGGACAACCCCATACCATAGTATTTCCGTCAAATTTGAGGGGCATATAAAAAGGTTACATTTAAAAACAGACATACTGGTTGTTCAGCATAAATGAACAGGCCCCTAGAATTTCACAGACTGCAGGTATGTTAAACCATTATTTATTATCAAACCGGTGTATGAATGTGTCTATCACTACAATAACAACTTAACTATTGAGTGTAAACTCAAGGCTAACTAATACCCCACATCAGCCTCCAAAATGTTGTAATGGACCGACTTACACCATTCAAAATGTAAAAAGATGGGCACAAACAACGTGCTGGACTGATAATGATCATGTGTACAACATTTAACTAAAACTGGTGTTGGATTAAGCCAAATAAATTTATTTTATAAGAATTACAACAAATCGAATATCACATTGATCATGTGTATCACATTTCATTACCATCTTTCAAGAATTGTACCCCATGCTCTGTTTAACTTTATAATGGGAATGTAATGACAAGATATTGGATTATAGATTTATATCTTACCTAGTGTTTTGATTGATAGCTCAGCAGAAGTGCTACTATCATCACAAAACCCTCCTATCAGGTGAAGCTGCAGTCTGAAATACAAAATAATATTTACCATGTATATCATTTTCGGCAGTGAATACCAGGGCTCTTCATATCTGTTTTTTTTTAAATATTAATTACCTTAACCTGCCATCCCTGCAGGTTTGGAAAAGAATAAACCTGCTGCTTTTTATTGCATGTTCTAAGAGATGGCTAATGAGTGTGTGTACAGAATGTGGGGTTATTTGTAGATGGATTTTTTACTCCGTTGTCACTAATTAGCAAAATTGATCAGCTGCCTCCACTTCCAACATTTGGATTTATAATCTTTTCTTTCTCACTTTCCTTCTCTTTTCTTTTCATGTTATCTCACTAAGCACCAGTTTCCATACAACCCTAAACAAATAATAAAAAATTGACATATAAGATGTCAGAACTAAGACAATAGATACAATACCTAGCCTCACTCCATACATTATCAATGACATTCAAACTTGCACTGGTGCCTAAAAACCTGTCTGCAATTGTTACATAAAATGCTTCATGGTTTAAGCAAACTGAAAATATTTTGAAAGAAAATACAACATAAAAAATCAAAAAACTAAATTTGTCAGTTCTTAATTTTTTTATGTATTACTTGAATTTGTAACTGATGTTAAACAAAATATTTTGCAAAAATATATTCTTGAATAGTGTAAGTGTTATAAAATGTTATTCCTGGATAGTGCATAAAAAAAAAATCTAGTAAAAAAATATAATAAATAGACTTGTAATATTCAATTGGCAAATATCAACTACACAGCTTATATCAAATTGCACTGATGTCTCAAACAATAACTTGAGGTTCACCTCCCACTGCTGTGCGCCATTCCTTTCACCAGTCTGATCATATCCTTGGCTGCCTTCTGTATGCCAGAGCCATCAAAGTGTGCAAGACAGACAGCTCCCGATTCTACAACAACCAACACCACTAAACTATATATCATGGTCAGGATTCACAGTAGACTTCAAACAAGACTATCATAAAACACAGATAAGTTTGAATTTAGGCTTTCAACAAACATGTGTACCGGTAGTAGAGCTTGGGTTAGTCACATTTGTAAATTCCCTATGCACTTAAAATTACACTATCAGTAATATAAACTGTTTTCGTTTCATAAAACACTTGGACATCTCAAAACATTTTTATGTGATAGATACATTTAATGAATTTATTCCAAAAAAATAGACCAAAGTTCTTCATTTAAAATAATGTCAGAATAACCGCAGTTTCTGTTTACCGTACCTGTATGGCGTAGGACGACCATGTGACATGTTGTGGCATCCTCCGTACCCAGAAAGTTGAAAACTCCTGTAAATAAAAATGGGTAACTGATTATAATACTCACTGCAAACTTTGCAATATTTCATTTGTCATAAAGCTAAATGACAAAAAAAACTAATAGCAATGATATCTCTGTCTATTTTTTTAATTTTGATTTTATTGACCTGAATATATCAGTAAGGGGAAATTCAGATGAGGCATCCTGGGTACCCTGGTTTTACAACAAAACCCCAAGGTATTCTTTCATTCGTTTTCTTACCAAATTACATACTTGGCACGTATCTTTTTGAAAAAATGCTCATTGACAATTTGTCCTTTATATTTATTTTCTTTAACAAGGATTTTTTTCTTGTGGGGAGTTAAGTTATATGTACAAATTGTGTTCCCACATTTTGTTCAGGATTTTTATAATTAAAGAGAATAAAGATTTTTTAATGTTGGATTTCGGAAGAACAATTATAAAAGAGACAGTAACTGACCATCCTCGGGAGTAGTGGCTGCCATCTCTCGCTGACCGACATACAAAATGCCCTCATCCTGTGTATACATCTTATTGGACTGACAGCACAGGTGTTGGGAGGAGTCCTGGCAAAGACAAACAAAAAGTGAAATCATTCAACTTTCTAGTGAAAAAAAATGTTGTTCATCCTTCCTGCCACTCCAAAACAGCATATCATTTAGTTGGTTCTGAAATGTAATATTCTATCTGGAAAATAAATTCATCTACTGTAAAATGGAGATTTCTTACACTCTCTTGTGAAGGATTTTTAATGTCTCTATTTTATACATGTGTTGAAAAATTGCTTATCTGACAAGATCATTTTGATGAGATAGAAATTTGTATTGCAATTGTAAAGAAAATAGCAATGGTTGCAGACAATTGTGAAAACGATGTTGATTGCAATGGGTAAAGACAATAATGAAAATCATGTATTAGCAATTGTAATTTCTGAAAAGCCAATTGTGACAAAGCTGATGGCAATGGTAAAGACATTAAATATTATGATGACCACTGTGATAAAATTCTGGTCAAGACAAAGGCAATGAGCATAGGCAATTCTGATAACAATGCTAACAACAGGTTATACAAAGACAATTCTACCGATACTAACCATTCTAATGGCAATTGTGACGAAGCTGATTGTAACAACAACACTAAATAGCAAAGGTTATTTCTAAAATCATGATAAGCTGATAGCACTGGTCAAGACAACAGAGATAAAATTAATGGCCATGGTCAACGCAATGAAATTCTGATTGCAATTGTAGAGACAAAGGCAATGGTAATGACAATTGTGATAACAATGCTAATGGCAATTGTAAAATTAACTGTGGTAATGAAGATGATGGCAGTGGTAGAGACAATTGTGATAACTCTAGTACTGCTGATGGATATAGTCACAGACAATGTTGACCACCATGCTAAAAATACGATAACAAAGCTGATGTAAATGGAAGAAAAGAAATTTATCATATCAATGCCGACTGTAGTTAAATCAAATTGTGATAAAGTATTTCTGATGGCAATTAAATATGGTAAAGGCAATTATGATACTATAATGTATTTAAATAAAAAAAGATAAGTGCAGTTTACAGCAGACTGAGCACGCACACCCCGGAAGCACGCAATGAATTACACTGAACGTCAGATCTTCAAGTTATATATCAGAACCTGTAATTATACAAAGAGTCACATGATCCCATACATCAGATAATTGATTTTGAATTAGAACCAGAAATGACATACCAGTCATATCTACAATCCTCTATATAAATCATTAGATTTATCATTTGTTTTATAACGTAGAACTGTGAGGCATTGTGTCACACACGACACACTAGACCCTATCTGTCCCTGTGTGTGTTAGGACAATGACCGGTGATCCTCGTCACCCGTGCCCACCGTCCATCCGGAACCGTACCTACCACAGATCACAGATCAAATATCAGCCTATTGTTACATGTGTCGACAACTAACAGCCGAAAATGTCTATTTACAAACATAAATGTGATCTAAATTGTTTACATACAGACTTATGGCAGCTGATAAGTCATACTGACACACTGATTTCTTTTCTAAACCCAGTTGATAATTGACTTTAACGGTGAAAACAGTTAAATTAAGAATATAGTACACAGTTGTATACCCCAACATATATATACATTGTATGTACAGCAGTAATCAAGATCTCAGCCACATCATTATGTGTTTAGGTTAGGATATTGACAAGAAAGAAATTATGATAAAGCTTGTGTACTTCACCATTCCATTTGGAATTTATCGATGAATATTAAAATTTCTTTCAAATCCTAAATAACAATTGCACAAGTAAACAGCGAAAAAGCTATGAACTAATTAAATCAACCAAGAATCTAACTTAAACCAAGAAATTCTTACCCGTTCTTAGCTATTTTTAACTAAATGTTACCTATATTATACTATTGTAATAGGACGAGGAATAGTTATAAAGATAGTTACGTCCTTGGGGCTCGAACCTACGACCCTTGGCTATCCAGCCCGATGCAGCTACCACTTAGCTTTAGGGAAATTCCCTACAACTGACATTGTAAGGCCCCCCCTTTTTCAAACAAACACTAATCCAGGTTCTTTGACTCCCTGCCAAGGGTTCTCCTACCTTGAACGGGGAGGGTCAACAGCACCAGTTTGTAGTTTGTAGTAGGACAAGGACGCTTAGCTTGTAAGGCAACCTAATCAATGCAGATCTTTTACACAGTGCATTTCAGAACTTTGTACAGTGCATTATGAATATTTTTTTATTGATTTTAAAACCAACTGTACTCTTGTATCAGGTGTCTTCCTAGGTGGTTCTGGTTAGTCTGTTGTCAAGATAAATTGTATGGGATGTCATTCTACCCTGTTCAGGTTAGGATATTTCAGCACAATGACACTTTGAGATTGCCATGAAGTGGACCTGGCCCTCATCTGTGGTCTACCCTAAACATTACAACACTGCTATTATACAATTATATATGTATATTTATACCTACATATAACCTACATCAATGTGGTATTATAACTTGATTGTAAAGGGTCAGGTTTACCAATCCTAAGTACAAACACCATTAAATCACTGGATAGAGTATGTGTCGATATACTTTATGATTTAATCTCAGCCGCTAGTCATCTGATAGCCTTTGTTATGACGTGTACCAAACAGAACTTAAGTCCCACAAAACACATGCAGATATGAAGTGTAGCATAGAGGACTACCAAATTAATGAAAACTGGAGCACTAATCAATAAAACTGAGGTAGTTTGAAAAAAAATAGTTTGACATTGAATTCTGCAACTACTTAATTTATGAGTATGAGTCAAAATACTCAAATTATATTTCAAAGTTATACAATTTACTGGGTATATGATACAATGCATCATAGGAGATACAAGCCATATGATATGGCCACTGTCGATGAAGATTATTGGAAGAATGAACAGGCTTAAATGGCTGTTACAGGGAGCGCTTCAGCCAGAAGCAAGAGTGAGGCTTAAGGGTACAACTATGTTGTAAATTAAATTGGCTTTCAATTCTTTGGAAGTCTCGTGACTTCTCTTGCTTTTTTCGGTGTCTAGCTTGTGTCCTTTATCAAGCTTCTCTGGTCTAAGAGTCTAGCTTGTGTCCTTTATCAAGCTTCTCTGTGACTTCTAAGAAACTAGCTTGTGTCCTTGATCAAGCTTCTCTGTGACTTCTAAGAGTCTATCTTTTGTCCTTTATCAAGCTTCTCTGTGACTTCTAAGAGTCTAGCTTGTGTCCTTTATCAAACTTCTCTGTGACTTCTAAGAGTCTAGCTTGTGTCCTTAATCAAGATTCTCTGGTCTAAGAGTCTAGCTTGTGTCCTTGATCAAGCTTCTCTGGTCTAAGAGTCTAGCTTGTGTCCTTTATCAAGCTTCTCTGTGACTTCTAAGAGTCTAGCATCCTTAAAATGTTTTGAAAAAAAATTGTGTCATTATTAGTAGGATTGTTATAGAGTGAGTAGCCCCTAGCCCCTGATACACCAAATGTTTGAATTAGGTTTCAGTACAGTATTTTACCGGCAATAAGCCCCCCCCCCCTCCCCCCTCCTGAGAAGAAAGATTGGCCAAAAGTGTGTGTGTGTGTGTGTGTGTGGGTGTGTGTGTGGGGGGGGGGGGGGGTTTTTCCGGGAAAAAGCCCCCCCCCCCCAAACACACACACTTTTGGGCAATCTTTCTTCTCAGGGGGGGGGAGGGGGGGAGCTTAATGGCAGGGACCCACCCTGTTCCCAGGACATTTACCAAAGTGGGGAGGGGGCTTATTTGCGAGAGGGGTCTTATTGCTGGTAAAATACGGTACTTGTTCTTTGCTTGCACATACATATTTTTCTTGATTCAAGTAACAAACAGGTTAACTTTTTCATCGTGTGAAGTTATGTATAAAGTGAAGCTGAAGGGAATGCTTACTTCAGAAATACCCGATAAGTGTACATGTACTAGTAGGCTACAGCCACTGCTGAAGAGATTTACTTCAGAAGTAGGAACAACAGATGATATCTACTTTAAAAGTAAGAGTAGGCTACGGTTGCTACAGAGAACACTTACTTCACAAGACACGTAAGCAGTTAGAGCAAGCAAATATTAAGAGGATGCTTACTTCCCAAGCAATTTAAACAGTCTAAGAGCAAGGTAAAGATTAAGCTAGTATTCAATTTTTATTTGGTCTAAAAATGATCAATATAAATCATACAATAAAACAAATATGAATTAAAAGACTAGCAGGACCTTATTTAAATCACAAACACATTAACATCCATTATAATGTTAAATTAGTAAGCAATGGATGATAGAGGTTTTAATCCTGATGGTATATATTCTAGTGTCCACTTGAGTCCCGAGTATTGACATTTTTAAGTCCCTATATCCACAAACCAATATCCTTGGAGCTTTATGTACCCTGGATCTTATGTAGTACCCTCTCGCTGTATTTAAATTATGTGTTATCATAAACATTATTTACTGACTGGTTCAATATCTATAATAGATAATTGTTGAATCCATGTCAGAGCGCCAGTGAAAGTTATCAAGAGGACTCTTTATAGTATATGATAAAGCCAACGTATTTACCAGACCACACATACTGGTTAAATGGACTACCGTCGCTCAAAGCATGTACACACATTAGCAGGTAGCATGATGGTATTTTAATATGCAAACAAATTTGCAAAAGTTTTTATGTGAACTGGGGAAATTATATATACTGGCACACTTGAATCCCACATGCTCTGTTATTTAATATTTTATTATATCATAAATTTAATTATTATTTACCACCGTGAACACCCGTTACTTGTTGGACAGTCTAAAGCTAGCTTAAGTTTTAAAACTAGGCTCAGCTTCATTACTCGTCTGAGTAGCACTAGTTATAAATCCTTAAATCCAATTATTACCTTCACTACCCTCCTCAAGGTAACACTACGTATGTATTGTCCAGTTACAGCCACCATAATGCTATATAACTTTATATGTAGTACGGATTATTTTACTGTAAACATACAGGCTTATATTCCTGAGCCATTTATTCCTTTCATGTGTTCTATATAAACACTGCATTGCTAGAGTTCGCCACAACATTTTCTGATCTTCTGACAGACTTGTGTAATTGTCTGTCCAACAATACATATTAGATTAGCCTTTTTAAGTTGTTGTCAACATGTAAAAGTAGATAAGGATATCAAATTGTAAATGAAAGAAAACTGCTTTTTCTGGTAATTTTACAATAAGTAAATGTATGCCAAAAAGGTATACTTCTAAAGTTTAAAAATTTCCATATTTTTTTCATTATACTTAGAACATATACCAGGTGTCTACATTACATTTACTGTAAATAGGGAAACTTTTGCTATAGTTTAATTTTGCCTTTTTTTGCCTGCCGTAATGAAGGCAAATGTATCATTCCAGTGAACACTAGTAAACAACATAATAAGCATAGTAATTAAATGTGAAGGGCGAAACTAACACTGGGCAAATATGGATCATCTGGCGAAGGGAGAAACACTATATATGTTTATCAAAGCATAAGCGATGCTCTAGTCTCTGCCGCACAGGAACATAGTGAAAAAAGTATCCAAATCACCTCATCATTTTTTGATTATTTATGTTTCATATAAAAATTTGTTATAACTACCGATATATATGTATATAGCTCTTCAAAACATATTTTGGTACAGATGATCTCTGATGTGTTGACAATTATTAGAAAATGTGTGAAAGTTTGATTTGACTAATATAATTTATAAGGATCAGTAGAATGGATCAAGGACTATCACAATAAACATACGTACAAGGTGTTCAACAGGCAGGTCTCCTTGGCAGGGTACTATATAATTTTAGGCAGTTATTACCATGACATCACAATGAAAATGATATTGTTGAATACAAACTCATCTTCATGTCTGACACCATTTTTGTTGTGAGGTTGAGAAAAAGAGCGAAAAAAAGTTTTCTATGAACATTCAATGAGATTTGCCATTCTATGAAAAGAGCACATTAATACATTCCATTTCAGCAATAGTGCTGAAAGTATTGTACATTATATAATATTATTACGCATGGTTCCTTCGCTTGGTGGCTCAGCTACTCATTGTGGCAAATACTATACTGTATTAGCACAGGTACAGCTACCTTAAGGTAGTTACCTGGTACATACAATTATTTCTTCTTCCTCTTTGTGCATACAATGGTTCTACAGTAAAACTGAAAGCATGGTGTCCTTTTCCATGTTCACTTTAAGATTTATAAAAACATATTTGTATTGGAAAAATCCACTTTCGTTTCAAAAATTCTGTTTATATAGAAATCTATATGAAAAATTCATACTGCACCATCGATAAGTTTGGGCAAAGTATACCTACCGTAAGTAATTACTTTTCAACATGCATGTCAACAAAATAAAATCACGAACATTTTCACCTAGGTTATACTTAAGAGAAAACATTTGACACCTGCCTGCCATGATGGAATGTGTGTAAATCTGTTCATGATGGAATGTGTGTAAATCTGTTTGAATCTGCAGTACTGTTACGTATACATGAGGCACATTTTAGCTCGCTATGTTTGAACAACCCTGAGAACTTGAAATTGACAGACTCCTCCCAGGGTCACGGTGGTACAATGTACATGTAAACAGAAAAGACAAAGACTGTTAAACTTTGATGAGCCATCTCCTTTTCGTCCCGAGCCCAAATAAACCTACATGTACCTGTAATTTTTAAGAAACTACTTAAATAATTATTCAATAGATCCTGCAACCCTTCAATTTTAAGAAATAATAAAACAAAATGTGTACTAGGGCTGCAGTATAATGTGTCTGTGTGCATTGTCTAGCTATATTGTCCAGGTTAATTAAGACACTTTTTAACAGCAATTTAAATCAGGTCCCATATCATCCGTGGACACCACTTTTAATGACCCAAATTGAATACAAAATCATAGAGGGTAGTGTTGCTACCATTCTCATGTTGCTAAGTTGTTATAGCTCAGTTAAACTGTTACACAGGTGATACACACATGTGAGAGATATTAGTGGTTACAAGACCTTGCCGTCTGAGACCTCAGATTTCCTTGAATTTGATAAATGATTGTCTTCACTGTCAATTCTAATCGTTGTTAACAGCTTGTATTTAAGTAGTATACCATGCATCCAGCATGCTTTTATTTTTTTTAATCCAATATATGTAGCAGCACTGACATTGAATCATTATAAATGTCAACTATTAAGACCTACATTGAACATAATCCAATTATACATACCCAAAAGCATGAATGATTGATCAAAAAATACCAGTGTCCAGTTTTTGATTACCAAACTTAAAATCAGAAAGTTTATAAATATACCTTTGTTTCAGGTTTTTATATAATCATTTTGAATACATGTATTAATATGTGCAGTTATTCTTTTATATTTCAAACTTTAATGTGTAGGATAGACATGTCTGATGTTGTAATGGTATTCAGTCTTCTTGAGACTAGGGCCTTGTTAGCTTGACCAGTTACACAAATTAAAAATAACAATCATTTTTGGTATTTTTTTTCCATCAGATAATAATTGTGAATCCTTACCAAAATATAAAAAAATATAATAAATGAAAATAAGCTGATTGAAAGAGTCAGATTAACATTATGTCAAGCTAACTAGTCTTTGCACAACAGGGCCCTAAACACAACCCAGCCACATTGTGCTACTAGCTACTTGTTAGTACTGTGTAAATGCCTTTTGTGGTTCTATATGAAGTACATATGTATACGGGTATATACAAAAGAAACCATCCAAAGTCCATGTGATGGTTAAATATAAAAGAAATCACAAAAGAGTTCCTTGATATATGTGTGTGTTATCTACAGTACATAAACTTACTGTTAGATCTTCTACATATTGCTTACCTTGAAATCATATCTGTCAAAGAATTCCTGGAGAGATTTTGGAACTTGTCCAACAGAGTTTCCATTTATTATCAGAGGCATGTTTTCACATCACAAATTTCCAACACAGGTGTTCAGGCTGAAATAAACAGTAGATTTTCTATTGGTTATGTTATCTTGGGGTCATAGGGGACAAGTATTTTATTAAGTTATGATCATATCTACTTTGTTGAGCACTTTCATATATGCATCGCAGAAATCACTGGAGTGTCCTGGAAGAAAACTTTCATCGAATAATTTGTAAAGTGTCACCTTGCCTTTGAAAATGATTCTTCAGAGGGTAGCAGCATAAAACATTAGTGCATATGTGACTCAGCGAAACCTTTCTAATCCGACCTCTGAGTGATCCAACATACTATCATATCTAGATCAGCTACCATGCTAAGACTTCTGTATTCCAACATCCTGTGTAATCCAACACACCTGAGCCCGTACTCATGCTCATGAAACCATTCTCATGCTCAATCTCAGATTCTGTGCTCAAACCCAATCTCTTCTTCCTTTGATATATTCATAAAAAGATCACTCTCTGTGCATGACCCAATTTAAGCGAGTTAAAAAAAAGCTGGTTTGAGCACAGAATCCATGCTTGAGCATGAGAATAGTTTCATGAATACGAGCCAAGGTAATGCTGTTATCCCATTTCTTATAAAATCTACTCGTTAAGACCTGTGCATTCTGATGCCCTCCATAATCCAAGTAAGTTGTTGGATGTCACACATTGTCAGATTAGACAGGTTTCACTGAACAGTTAATACTGTATGTTGACAATACCTCTACCTGCAGATCTTCAAAGAATTAGAGAAATCAATATTAATCCTAAAACACAAGCTTTGTCTGTGGTATCTACCGTGTACTAACTAAATACATCCGACTGAAACTGAATGTTTGCCAAAACTTTACCTTAACCCCTTCACCCCTGGGTAACCTTGAGTAGACTCTACCATACATTCATCTGGATGAGTCTATTATGGTCTACAGTAGTGGCGAAAGGGTTAATAAACACTGAATCACGGTTATAAAAGCTTTCCAGCTAGCTACCTGTCATTGCTATGAAAATCAGGCACATACTTTAGAAAAGTAATACTCCAGGACATCATTAAAAACTGGAACATGATATACCTACAAGCATGTTTTATCAAACTAACCCATAAAACCTAAAACAGGCCTTTCTTCTGCACAGCCATTAAATTTAAACTTGTACCTGACAATTCGTCTAAGTTTTACATGCATATACATAAGTGTACATATGTGTGTTATCAAATAACCTGATAATCAGTATGTTTGGCCATTAAGATATGACAAGATTTCAGGATACAGCAATATGCATTTGATTAGTACAATATCTACAAGTCTGATCTGGTTACTCTTTGTTATTTGTGCTTTGAGGTATGCATATGAAAAATCGGTCATACAAGCATCTCTTGTAAAAGGTTGCAACAACACAAAAACTACATCAACAACAAGAGCTAATTGTGTTGGGGGCTATTACAGAACACCCCACAAAAATAAACTTCATTTTTTTTTTTTAATTCAAATCACATAAAATGTAAACAGGTGCACAGGCATTTACCTTAATCCCCCAATGCAGTAAATGATTAGATAACAAATTAAATGGTTTAAGTGGAACCCATGACATAAACCTAAACATGAGTGGCTGGTTCCATATTTTTCCAAACTATATAATACACATTACAAAGCATGATGTCTATCTAACAGTACTGCACAAAATCTAATCTTCTATGTATGTAATGCTCAAAACTGGCAGCAACTTCAAAGTTAGCATGGCAGAAGCAGCTACCTATCAAAATTACTGGTACGCAAAACACGACAGTGGCTGTGGGGATACACAATACTTTTTACTATTTTTGATATATATCATATTTCACAGTACTATCTATAGTTTTGTTTGTTTGGTACCCTACTTCTGAAAAGGTTACATTCTGACAATAAATGACAGCGGTTATTATTCCACAAAGCCATAATAGTACGTTATAATAGTTCCGCTATTCATTTGGCTAACAATGTGTTTATACAATACACATGGGCTTTACCTGTCAGAACAGTACTATATGGCTAGTAGCACTTAGATCGTGGAATCTGTGTGGACATCGTTGATCAGTTTTAAAGTCGTTTGCCTACCGAATAAAGTCTACGAGCATTTAAAGCACTTTACAGCCTGGGCTTTTGAAAATATTGAAAAGAAATATAATTTATACAGTGAATATCAATCAAGTGACTGTAAGCATACTGAAGAAAAATGAATTATACCCACTCCACATTATATACCGTATACAACCAAATAACTACCCTGTGAACTTAGGGATTTGGAGAAATTTAAATGGTTGCTGACCAATCAACAATTCCCAAATCTACCATGAAATAGGCAATAATAACACGTGTAGATGTATCTAGTTGGTAAACAAGAGTGAAGGATATAATGCCAAGATCAAAACCAAATAAAGGATTGGTGGTAAACAAGAGTGAAGGATATAATGCCCAGATCAAAACCAAATAAAGGATTGGGAGCGTTCATATAGGGATGGGGCACATTTCAGGTCAAATATGGTACATGTAATATCATATCAATACATGAAAAATGAGCGGAGTGAAAGTATCACATTTCTTGGGCGTGTCTTGTATCTGGAGGCAGACTATATCCATGAATATTTTAAAGAAAATCAATTTGCAAGCATTACAGGACAATTTGACATCCATAACAGCCTCGCTTTGTATACATGTACATCAATATTTGATAGGATAAGCTTTGAACCGTAAATTACACTGGAAGTCTGTTTTGAAAGTTTTCAAAACACAGCAGACCTTATTCATGAGTGTTTTCATCAGATTTGTTATAGCATAAAGAACAGTCCTATCCCCAATACATGTACAGGACTTTGCTTTCAAATGACATACATGTACTTAATATACATCATTGCATCATAATTGAGGAATATACCTTGTTATGTTAGTGTTCAATTTATTGTTATTGTTCATATCAAATGGTCTGCCTTTAGACTTAAGAACACACCCTGACCCATAACAACACTGAATGTTAGACAGGACTGACAGCTTATACATATACATGTAACATATATATATATGTTATTTATTTATAACTACAGTGTGGACAAAAATTCTGTGTAAAATTTCCAGAGAAAGCTATTTTTCTAAGACAATTACAAATACTAAAGACAGACAATTGACTTCAGTCTGCACAATTACATATAAATCTATAATCATAAAGGTTAGAAGGGGAAGGGGGAGGGGGGAGTTGGAAGGGGTAGGAGGGGGCTGAGTGTGTAAGCTTCTCTTAGGTCTTAAAGCAATTAGATAGCATACCAGCCTGTCCTCAAAGTCACGTGAGATAGCACTGGAGCATTTTTTTTTCTCTCAAAAAGACAGATAAAATTCTAACTACTGTATACAATTGTAAAGGAAATATATCAGTTTCCTTCAATGTGATAGAGGAACTGAGGTGAATACCAAACTATCTCCACAGAGATGGGGATGTTGGAGAAAGTTCTAGATCAAGCAACAGGATATTCTCCAGGTTATGCATATATATATAGGGCCAAGTTAACCACTGACTTACAGGATTTTACACTCGACCTTACCTGTTTTCTTCCTCTCAATTTCATGTAACATGCATATACATGTATATTGCAACTAAACATGTACTAGCTATAGACATCAAAAATAGCTCTAGGAAAATGAAACAATTTTATACTCACATTGCTGTAAAGTTGTCAGTGCAGCACTAGAGAAGTTAAGCCCAAAACAACCTGTAACACACCAATATGTACTGTAAACCAATTATCTCTCACATCACAAAGCCAAATAACATGGAAAATGTGAAACTGTATAAATTCCTCTACAAAGTCTCAGAAATAATTGCACCTTAAGTCAGCAAAATCCAATTCTAAACAAACACCTTGTGTGATAGTGTCAATACTGAAATACTATTGACAATTGACATACCTGTACAGGTACAAATAAATATGGTTCCAGTTTATAGGGCACTCTTACGTATACTAGTAAGTATCGTACAGGTGTATACTGCTGTTAGACTTATATAAATTACCTACTACACATTCACACCAATGTCAGTGTACCGTACACATTTAAATGCCTTATCTTTGCCACCGCTTATAGCCACATACCTGAAGCCTGTTCCAATCAGTTGATTGATTGATTTAAAACTAGGCCTTGTGGCAGACTTTGAAGCGGCAAGCTGTATACAAAACTACGCTGATCTGGATTATAGCTATATCAGCATAACACAACATAACCACTAACATTTTCACCTGCAAACTTTTTGTACATATTGGCTCTAAAAACAAATGATGCATGTCCTGATTTTCAAAATAACAGAAATATAATTAAAGAACAAAAGGTCTTGTGAAAAGTGATTGCATTGATTGTTATAAGTGCAAAAATCAATTAACATTCATTATTTTGCAAAAAAATATCTTTTAAATTCCATTTATCATTTGAACCATATCAGGTAGCGCTTTGAATTAAAAATTAAATTCAGAAACCCCCCCCCCGACTTTATGCCTTTCAGTGTTTATGATCTTGTTATTTTGGGACAGAATGAAAGTTTAAACTTCACTCTCAAAGAATGAATGAAAATTAATATGTACCTGGTATTAATTTGGCAACCTTCCTAAATTTGTATTTAACTAAATCCTTCTAAATGTAAACTGACTTATCTAAGGTCTTTATAATTTTAAATGTGATAGTCTTGATTTAGTAAAATCCTGCCTCTATATATGTAGCTTTCACCAAGGTTTATCTAGACCTATAGCCAGCAGCAAAGAAGTCAACCTGTTTTGATAGGGAATTGCCCTTGACTAGGTATAGCACTGTCTACATGGGAAATATATTGAATGTATGTAAGCCTAAACTAATAGTTTTCACTACCATGAGAGTGTGACAGTTTCAATCTGATAGGTGAATATTCTTGATTGTCTCAATCAAGACTTGCTTTAAATTTGGGCCAATGATTAGACATTAAGTATCTCCTCACCCTGAGGGTTAACTCATTCACCCCTGAAGTCACATTTGAACTCTTCCAATTCAAAGGTTGGAATAGTTCATTTTGAAATTTTAGGGGTGAATCAGTTAATATTTCTTTTGCATAATCTTCACCATAGCCAATGATTAACACTCAGCAATTTAGGAGTGGGACTACAGCTGGTTCGCCCGTTGTCAGTATAATGTGACCGGGTGGGGTGTCCTGCTGGGTGTCTTCGGCAGTATGCTTCAGTGAGGTAGCACTGTAAAGTCAACATCAGTTTCGCACTATCATAGGGAGACAAACACGAACATATCGCAGCCTCCCAAAACACACATGCATGCACAACACGCATGCATCTAGCACACAGAAGAGGCCGTCCTTAAATGACCATAGCTGTTGATAGGAAGTTGAACAATACTAAACCAAACCAAACCAATCAATCAAATTATAATAGGTTCCAAAACAATGGATACACTGAAAAAAGGTTCCAAAACAATGGATACACTGTATTATCATTTGTAATTTCCTATTTTCCTGATTTGTCACATGATCTTTCCTGTTGAAAGCTGATTGTGATGTCATATTTCAGTGATGTCATCTTATTGTGATACAGATGTATATGTCATATACCCTAGGGGATGAGAGAACATATCTTACTTTTGGGGTGACAGGACAGAGACATTCTGAACAGGTAAAACAGAAAAATAATATGTGAGAAGTGATCAGGGAATACTGTATGATTTGTGTTTGTTGAATAAAACAAGCATATATATAAGATTCTGTGTATAATGGCCATGGGTGCTACAACAGTGCAGTATTCCTAGCTATGGCAAGATAGGTATATATAAAGTATATATATAGAACAACTTTCTGTATGTTAATCCTAAAACTTCTCAAGGAGGTCTCTATCATAAGCACTTATCATAACTCTATGAAATTACATTTCAGTAGATTTTTGGTATTGCTTTTTGACAAGTCAACATTGTCAGAGTTAGTAAAATATTTCTTTGTTATTTTGTTTACATGTTATTCTTTAATCCAAGTTATTCTTTAACTAGCTGCTAGTTGATGGAAGCAAAACTGTATTAACTCATAGATAATAAACACAATGGCACTAATTACAACCTTGTCGAACAGTACCAAACTGTCAGATGGTGCCAAAATGCAATATATCTGAAGTGTAAAATAATGTTACAACACAAGTGTATTTTTCAGCAAGTGCTGTTTTTAAAGCAGACAAGGAAGAAAAATTGCAGCGATGGGTGGGCGAACAGCTAAAATTTATTTACAGTTTAAAAAGTTAAAATCTTATAAAACATTTAGAAGTGTTGGAGGGGCCAGACACGTCCTGCAAAAGGATGGCATGTCTAGATCTTAAGCTCACTGTCGCTGGATGGTGACTCTCAAACAGGTGGGGGGGGGTGTTGAATTCCATGCTCGTATTGTTGCTGGGATGAAGGAGAACATGTAGGCCTGGACCCTGGTGCTGATTTGCTGGATGTTATTGACATGGGGTCCCCGTGTTCGGCTGGTGTTGACCAACTTGACCATCAAGAGATGGTTAACAGGGACTTCTAGAATGTTGTTGTTAATTGTGTAGAACATGATCACTCTGTTCCTAGCCCTCCTATGTTCCAGGGGTTCTGATTCAGCTGCTGTAGCATGTTTGTGACACATCCAGGATCTCTGGTGTAACAATTCCCAGTAGCGAATCTGGCTGCCTGGCCTTGAACACTCTCGAGTTGCTGTATCTGTTATGCTTGATAAGGGTACCAGACATTAGATGCTTACTCAAGGAGAGGCCTGACAAGTGTTGTGTAGGCCTGTGCCTTGACGACCTGTGGGCAACTCCTTTGATTCCTCCTTAGGAATCCAACAGAGATTTGGTTGGTGTTAGGCTTACATGCTCTCGCCATCAGAGGTCGTAATTAATGTGTACGCCAAGATATTTGCTGCCTGGGACAAAGTCATGGTCATATAGGCGGTAGGTGGCATTGACCGTCTTCTGCTTTCGTGTGATTCTGATGGTGACACACTTCTGAGGATTGAAAAACATTTTCCAGTCATTTTCCCATTTCTCAAGAGCTACCTGATCTTGTTGTAGTACTGCTGAGTTATAACTGCTTTCAATTGTACGGTATATTTGGCAATCATCTGCAAAGAGCTTCACTTTCGAAGACACGGTGCTTGGGAGGTCATTAATAAAGGCCAAAAATAGGATGGCGCCCCATGACATTGCCTTGGGGCACCCCGGATGTTACGTCTGCCTCTGCTGTCTTACAACCTTCTACCAAGACATGCTGTTTTCTGTTGTTTATGAAGCTTTGGATCCAATCCAGTGTAGATCCATGGATCCTGTAGTAGCGTAGCTTTGCAAGAAGCTGTTTGTGGGGGACTTTGTCGAAGGCTTTTGTGAAGTAAGCAGCATGACATCTATTTGTTTGCCTTCAGAGAGCCTTCTTGCCAGATCTTGTACTGTGGCTATCAATTGAGTCTCGCATGACCGCCCTCTCTGGAATCCATGTTGAGCATCTGTCAGGATTTGATTATCTGGAATGGTGGTAGTGTCCTCTTTGGTAAACACGGACACAAAATGTTGGGTGAGGGTATCAGCCTTAGCACCAGCATCACTGAGGATAACTCCATCGGCACTACATATACGAAGGGGTGATACTCCTGAGGTCCTGCCTTTTGCTTTTGACAAAGGACCAGAACTTCTTTGAATTTGGCTAATTGGCCTCTGGGCTAATGATGTTGTACACCTAAGAGTTATGTGCCCTTCTGATGGTCTTCTGGCATGTTGACTTGAGATGTTTGTATTGCCTCATATCTCTGGCTTTACTCGTCATGATGGCTTTTTTCAAAGGCTCTGTTTTTCTGTCTGGTTATAGGCGTCTCGTGTTGTTATCCATCCAGGGGTTGGTAGGTCTTGAGCGTGTGTGTTTATGTGGGATGTGTTTGTCAAGCAATGCTAATGTACTGTTCATGAATGCAGTCCACATGGTGTTAATATCCTGGAATTTTTCAGATTTAAATGTGTTTACAAAGTGGAACTGTGTCATTTTTCAAAATCGAGGAGAACGGCCTTGTCCCAACAGATGGATCTTCCTTTTGGTGGTTTAAATCTCCTTGGTTAAGTGAGTGTGTCGACTAAGACTATGTAATGGTCCCCAATTCCAGGGATTTTATTGATTTAAATTTACTTACTAAGGATGCGATGGATTGCTAGTAAAAAGGAGGTCAAGGATCTTTGTGCCTCGAGTTGGTGATTCAACCAGACTGCTCAACTCCACACTGACAGGGATGCTTAGGTAGACATTGAACATACTCAAGGGATATATTGATGGGATGATATGACGAAGAGTGAAGGCCAGTCAATGCCTGACATGTTTAAGTCCCCTCCAACCCAAAATTCACATGTCTGGTGTTCATGTTTGAGGCAGTTAAGTTCATCGACAGCCAAGTGTGCATATAGTCATCAGAGGTCATGAAATTAGGTGGTCTTTAGATGACTAAAATCAATAACATGTTAGGTGAACCCAGTGAATCCACATTTTTATGATATTTTAGCAGTTAGCAACAAACCTTTTATAGAAACTTGTAACACAAACATTTGGGACTTATCTCCCTTTGAATAATCGTAATACATTTCTTTGATATCCATGGACCATTCGTCTAATTTAATGTCATAGGATCATAGCTATTTCAACTCATAACCACATAATCACTATTCAGTCTCTTATCTTTTTTAGAGATATTTCTTGCCATTCTATAGAAGTGTACTGTATTCGAGTTGTCTTTCTTCAATCACTGGATGATTGATAGTACTACTATTAATACCCGGCCTCCTCTGATGACGTTCAGAAAGCTACGCTGATTGATACATTTTTCACGGTTTCAGTTGCTAGTTATTCTATTGTAATTGTGATGAATGTACATATCGTAATCCTACCTTCGCTGATTAAGCATATTATTCAGGTTAGATACGTTGATCTGTTGGCGTTAATCATTTGTGTTATGTCTCCGTAATTCGAACGCTTAGAAGACAGATAGTTTTCGAGGTACAATCAAAACGTACAGGTATGAATAGGGAGTCCGGCAAACGGCAGCTGTGAAAAACTAGCTTTGCACAGATACTGTTTCGTATTTTTCTACCGCAAGTGTAATTAACACCAATATAAAATATTATCAATAAGTTAAGTTGATATATTTAAATATTAATTATTATATTAACGCATATATTTTAAAAGATTGGTATTAGGAAGCACACATTACTATATACTAAAATGGCTGGAATAATCCACTCGGAACTTCTCGGCCGATACGCTCATCTACGTTAGGAACTGGAATCGGGGCGAGGTGTTCCGAATGGGAATAATCCCGAGTTATAAACTTTTCCGAACGAAACTCTAGTGTTCCGAAGAGCCATTGGGAACTTAGAGAAATGTCTGTGAAGTTGCTGGGTTTTATTATTCAAATGAACATTGGTTTTTGTTGGTCAAAAAGTAAAAGGGTCAGAAATAGTTTTTATTGGTGAGAATCACTGTCATTTGTTAATCTGTTGCACGTCATTTTCAACATAGATGAGACAAATGAAAGTGTTTGCTGAGGATTTATATGGTGAGGGTCCCGTAGCCGTAGGCCTAGTGCAGCTGTAATGATGCCAAACTCGGCTATTAAGAGCGCAGAATTATTGTCATAATCAGTCACCACATATTCAAATATAAAGTGAGATTTTAAAATTCATCTTGATTTATGTTATTTTCGTACACAGCCTCATTGAAGAATTCTAGTTTGGTTTGATTTGGTGTGTGTGTGGGGGGGGGTTCTATATTATTATTGAGGAAGTCTTGGTTTCTTTGACATGTGTCTACCTGAGGTATGTCGTTTATTCCAAGTTTCTGGTGAATAATTTTACAGCAATTCTGAGGTAAAGATTCAACATTTATTATTCACATCACTTGTAAGCGAATTTTATTGATATCTGCTGATTACCTCCTGTGCTATAAATTCCTGGTTTAAAGTTTGAGCTCATGTATTTTGTGAGTTAACAGGTAAAGTATATGTACAACTGTTCAATGTTCCTCCAAACCAATCATATGCACAGTTCTATATTATTATTGAGGAAGTCTTGGTTTCTTTGACATGTGTCTACCTGAGGTATGTCGTTTATTCCAAGTTTCTGGTGAATAATTTTACAGCAATTCTGAGGTAAAGATTCAACATTTATTATTCACATCACTTGTAAGCGAATTTTATTGATATCTGCTGATTACCTCCTGTGCTATAAATTCCTGGTTTAAAGTTTGAGCTCATGTATTTTGTGAGTTAACAGGTAAAGTATATGTACAACTGTTCAATGTTCCTCCAAACCAATCATATGCACAATTCTATATTATTATTGAGGAAGTCTTGGTTTCTTTGACATGTGTCTACCTGAGGTATGTCGTTTATTCCAAGTTTCTGGTGAATAATTTTACAGCAATTCTGAGGTAAAGATTCAACATTTATTATTCACATCACTTGTAAGCGAATTTTATTGATATCTGCTGATTACCTCCTGTGCTATAAATTCCTGGTTTAAAGTTTGAGCTCATGTATTTTGTGAGTTAACAGGTAAAGTATATGTACAACTGTTCAATGTTCCTCCAAACCAATCAAATTAGTTAACCTCCCCTCACCCACCCCAAGTAGCTGGTTTAGATTGTGTCCCAATTTTTCAAAGACTCTCATATGTTAATTTAGACCTGGTGGTAAAGAATCTTGCAATCTACCAGATAAAATCAAATCTTAAATGAAAGATGAAGAATGTCTTATATTTCAGTTCCTTTTCCAAATTAATTTTATCACACCAGGGAGCATATGGTAACTGGACTTTTCTCCCAAAGTTTGAAGCAGATTCCAAGGGAAATATTGAGTTTACTAATACATGAGCAAGATACTTTACTCCACTTGTTCAAGTCTACTCAGCTGTAAATGAGTATGTGGTTGGTAGTGCTATAAATGTAGAATGCTAGCTGTAAGTGCCGAAATGGCAGCACCGGCTGTATGCTCCCCAGGGAGTTAAGAAAGATATTGACAGGTTGCAAATATATACAATGGAAGATATTATATATAATTAATCAGCATCACTTACTTGCCAGAATTATTGGAGACCAGTCGGTGAGTTTTACAATCATTTTAAGGGAATTGAGGTGAAAATAAGGGAGGTTTTATTCGCTGCGTTTTTCACAGCAAAAAGACTATCTTACTCAGCTAAATTAATGAAATAAAGCACAACATCTTAAAGTAAGGAACTTTGTTTTGACTTTGGTAGAATTTTTTGGTATATATTGAGTATGATATTATATACATTTACCTGGTAATAGCACAAAGTTAACAAAACAAAATACCACATAGTTAAGATATACTAAAGCAGAAAAATAAGGATAATAGTTGTCTATGTTCATTTACATTTGAACTTCTTGAAACATGCAGAAATAATCAGCTGTGAAAGTAAAGACAACTGTGTTCAGTATTTGAACTTTTAAATTACATATCTCAGCATTTAGAACAAAGACTTTTTCCATCTTCTTCATGACATGCCCCTTATATATTTACCGGTCGTTCTCTTTACTTTGATGCCATCACAGTATATATAATTTTTGCTGCACACTTAATAAGCATGTCCCTGTAACCCATATCCAATTATAGGTAAGTAGGGGAATTAATATTGGAAGCCAATATCAACACATCCAACTAATACAGCACATTAAAACAGGTCACCTGAGTTGTAATACAATTGTTATTTGTTGTTGTGATATGACAAAAACAAATATCACATGTATAGCAGGGAATTTTGTCCCTCCCCAATACTGAAAAATCTCCAGTATTTCCATAAACTATAGCAAAATATACCCCCCTCCCTAGGGTAAATGGGTGTATATATCAGATATACACCTCATACACCTTCTATAAATCAGGTCTACACCTTCTATACATAAAGTAAACACCTTGGGTCATTTCTATATATCAGGTACCAGGTATACTCCTCCTATACATCAGTTATATACACCTCCAGATTATCAGGTATATATACCATCAGGTACATGTATACACACCTCTGATATATCAGGTATACACCTCCCATACATCAGGTATACATCTCCTATATATCAGGTATTTACCTCCCATATACATCAGGTAAACACCTCCCATGCATCAGGTATACACCTCCCAGACATCAGGGCATTTTAGGTCCCTATTCTCTGTAGGGAAGTTATTATACTTCATCTATATAAGAGTTGTCTTGTTGGTTGTTTAGATTACCTCTTACCATACAAGAAGCATGAGCTTGGGGATCTCAACAATTTCCATGCTATGACCCAGGGAGGAAGTCCTCAGGAATATGGATTGAGCTCCATAAAGGACTTGATAGCATGAGTGTTATGTTTTCTTCATGTCCAGCAACATATGAAAGGGATCTGAACTGATTTCATGGGGAAGACCTGGGGAATAAGCCCTCAGGAGCAGGAAAGGATGGAGCATGGATGTGTTCAGGGTAAGATGGGAATCTTGATAATTTAAAGTACATAAAGCTTTACACCCAAAGTTCCTCTATGACTGCTTTGTCCCAGTTTTTAGACCTGAGATATGCTACAATCTGTAGTCATTGAGAAAAAGTAGTTTTTTGAAGATGAAATTGTATTATTTTGCTCTATATTGGGCCCATCTTATGCCATGCCCTACTAGGTTGTAGAAACTTGGCTGATACAAAATATGGTCACCTTTATTGCCTCAGACATTTTTACCATATATTGTAACAATTTATATGGTGACAGGTCCTTCTAGAAAGTAGTCTTAATTTAAAGTTAAAATTTACCAATTTCCCCATATTTGCCCAGCCACTCAACCCTAAGGTGGCCAATTCCTTTCATAATATAAAAGGCCAAAAATATATTGTTTTGTGCCTACCCTAAACTTTTTTGCCAATTTTCAAAGAAAGAACTGTTCAAGTCAAGATCACTCTCCTTTCTATGTGTAGACTAAATAAAAATAACTGAAAAATTGAATTTATTACCTATCTATAATATACCTATACATATTTTTTTCAAACATGTTACAGGGAACAAACATCTTTTGTTGTATATAGAGGATACTCATACCCAATAAGTGATGACTCTTTATGAGGTAAATCTAATAGTGTAAGTTTATATGCAGTATATTATCAACAAGTTTCAGCAATAAGATGATATATAACTGAAAACAGTCATGATAGATACTTCATATACATAGCTTATTAAAAAAATACAGAATGTAGTGTACAGATAATGTAAAGATATGATTATGTATATACAGTATATAAAGGTACTATACAGAATATATGAAGTACAGATATATTTCATTCATTATAAACTCTGTACACAATTCTCTATATGCTCTGTTTAACACTCTCTTTATCACCCTGTTCACTACTCTCTGAATACTACTCTGTATACTATGTATACCACATCTTATATAGCCTGTATACCACTCGATAAACACTGTATATCACTCCTCATATATGCTATATACCACTCTTTTATTCTATGTGTACCACTCAATATATTCATTGTAACACATTGTCATACTATATTTACCACTCCTGATATATTCTGTATATCACTCACTATATAATCTGTATACCACTCCTCATATACTCTGTATATAACTCACTATTTACTCTGTAAACCACTCGCTATATAATCTCTATACTACCTATGTATACCACTCTAACAAACATCTGTATATCACTCTCTCTATAAACCCTGAGTACCACTCCTTATACCCTGTATACCTGGACTCTCAATATACTCTGTACACCACTTTGTAGATACTGTGCATACTAATCCTTATATACTCTGTATACCATTCTCTTTACTCTGTATACCACCCTACATATTTTTGTATACCATTTTTTTATGTGCCCTGTATACTACTACTTATAATCTGTATCAGTTCCTATGTAAAGACATTTCAATGATCTTTTATAGTAAACAGGAGGCAGGGTTAGGGCCTGTCTATGGGGCAAATCCTGATAACATAAGTGTATCCAAATCGTCATGTTCATCAATTGTATATACATGTATTAAACATAAACATGTAT